GGAATTGCAAAAATGACCCCATGTAGGGGTGAAAATGCAAAGCGCCCCGAATTTTCACTACAAAACTCCATCTTCAGCAGTGACGTCATCATTTCGGACGAAAATTAAACAAACTCAATTTATCACTAATGTATGCTGCTTGACCCTCATTAGGTAATGCCTCTACTCTAAAGCACTCCTTATGAGATTTATGCCCATGAGCCCAATTCGCTAGCCCATCCGCCCCATTATTCTTTTGCCTAACGATATGCATGAACAAAAACGAAGGATCAATCTCTCGGAAACATAGTCGAAGAAAATATTCGAGCTCCCAATTAATCTTATTACTCCGAATAGCATTAAGATCACTATCATCGAATCACTCTCCACCATCACATTGTGTACACCCAACAATTTACACAAATGCAAACCATACACCATTGATAAAAACTCCACAACATTATTTGATACCTTCCCAAGATAAACTGGAAAGGAAGCAATTAATACTCCTTTATGATCTCGAATCAACCCCCCTCCTGTACAAGTATCATCCCTTGCCGATCCATCAATATTACAACCGCACCTCAACTAAAAATCTTCTTACACGTCCATTCTTGCGGTTTCAAATTTAGTGGAATCTTCGAGATTATATGGAGTATTGTCACTTTTGTACCCATTTTATCACATTCAAACTCCACATTTTAAAGCAAGATGATCATAATATGTGTTTTTTGGCTTGTATGTATCAGATTGTGGTGCATCGAAAACTATACTTTTACACAAAACGAGTACAAACTAAAGCACATTCCACGAAATCTAGATGATTATGTTGAATTTGACACCATAAGGGTGGAGGTTTAAGAAAAAATCATAGTTGAGGGGGTAGATGTAATTATCCAAACAAGTGGGGTTTTTTCGTAAATTGACCATACCTCAGGGGGTGGTTGTAATTTACCCAATTAAAAAATAAAAAGAATGAGTTTTTATGCATAAGTCCCTGACCAACCATCTTTATTATTCTAGGTTCAGGGTTATATATATTTCGCCAATAAGCCCATCCCTTTAATATGTATTATAAATAGGGGTTTTTGTGCATAAGTCTCCAACCAAACATCGTTATTATTCTAGGTTTAGGGACTATATCTCTTTCACCAATAAGCCCATCCCTTTAATATTTATTATAAATAAAGGAAACATTCATATGTATATGCTAATATTACCCCCAAACCTTTATACCCAATTCTTAATTGTAACCCCAATTTAATCAATTTTGTCCACAGAAATCCAATTTTGACCACAAAAATTCAATATTGACCTTTTTTTTTCAAAAAAAAAAATTTTCAAAAAAAATTTCTGCCGCCGGTTTCCGGCGTTGACTTTTCGATTTTTTTTTCTGCCGCCGGATTCCGGCGTCGACTTTTTTTAGTGTTTTTTTTAGTTTTTTTTTTTTTTTTTTTTTACATCTGCCGCTAATCATTAACGTATTTGTACAGCAGTTGACAATACATTTATGTAATTGTACTGCCGTTGATAGTAAATTAACGTAATATAATTATTTTTTATTTTTTGTTATTTTTTTTTTATTTTGTTTGATTTGTTGACAAGTGAACGTAATTATATTACTGTAAACACAATAATATTATTGTCAACAACATTAATATTATTATTTTTTTGGGTTTTTTGTTTTGTTTGAGTTATTCACGGAGTAACGTAATAACATTAATGTCATTATTGTCATATTACTGTAAACACAATAATATTACTGTGGTTGACGGTAATATTACTGTTGCTATAGTAATATTGCTGTCAACCACATCAATATTATTATTGTGTTTGCATTTTTTTGTTTGTTTGAGTTATTCACGGAGTAACGTAATAATATTACTATCTATTATTGTAATATTACTATTGTTATAGTAATATTACTGTCATTCACAGTAATATTAATTCTTTTGGCTTTTAATTATGTTTACATTTGTTGAACGGTCAACATAGTAATATTACTCTATTACACAAATTTTTTTTGGAAAAAAAATGTTTTGGGTCAAAATTGAATAATCTGTTAAATTTGGGGTCAAATTGAGGTTAAATTAAATTAAGTTGTGAAATTGGAGCATATTAGAGTATGAGTTGATGGGCTTTGTAATCACCCCTTATAAATAAGGACAAAATGCACTTCACCCCCTACACATTTTTCATTTTCGCACTTTCCCCCCTGAAAATTCAAAAACTAGATAATCCCCCTTCAAAATATTATTTTGGTTTCACTTTGCCCCAAATACCAGTTTTTGGTGGGCATTGTGCAACAAAAATAACATTTTAAAGGGACAATGTGCACACATATAATGTTTTTAATGTGTAACGTGCAACAAAAAAAATATATAAAGGGTAACGTGCAGCAAAAATACTCAATTCCAATGACTAATCTATCAAAATTTTGCTATCAGGGCAATTTGCAACAAGAATAAATTTTTGAAGGGGGGTATTCACTTTTTAAAATTTTGAGGGGGTAAAGTGCAAAAATTAAAAAAAATTAGGGGGTGATGTGCAATTTGGCCTATAAATAAAACAAAATTGATGTATATGACAAAAATACCCCTAACCTTTTAAACTCAATTTCTAATTGTAACCCCAATTTAACTTCAATTTAATCAATTTAGACCATAAAAATTCATTTTGACTTTTAAACTTTTTTTAGCTCCCGTTTTTCAGCGCTGATGTTTTTTTTTAATATATGTTTGTCTGCTTTTTTCACTGTCGGTTTCTGGCTTTGATTTTTTAGTATTTTTTTCCTAAAATTTTTATCCATTTTTTACGCTCCGCCGCTGAACGTTGACCATAATTGTACTGTCATTAACAGTAATTATACTGTCAGCCACATCAATATTATTATTTATTTGGCTTTTTTTATTTTATTTTGTTTCATTTGTTCACAAGTCAATGTAATTATATTACTGTGGTTGACAGTAAAATTATTGTAAACACAATAATATTATTGCCAACCACATCAATATTATTGTTTTTTGCCTTTTCGTTTTGTTTGATTTGTTGACCGATTAACGTAATAATATTACTGTCTACTATTGTAATATTACTGTAAACACAACAATATTACTGTGGTTGACGGTAATATTACTGTCGTTACAGTAATATTATTGTGGTTGACAGTAATATTACTATCAACCACATCAATATTAATTGTTTTGCCTTTTTATTATGTTTGCATTTCTTGAACGGTCAACATATTAATATTAATCTATTAAACAATAATATTAATTTTTGTTATGTTAATATTACTGTGCTAGAGGGTAATATAACAATATTACTATGTTAAATTGTAATATTGTTAATATTACTATGTTAAACAGTAATATAGTTAATATGACTGTCAATCACAGCAATATTACTGTTTAAACGGACAAAAAAATGTTGAAGAAAAAAAAAATCAACGCCGCTGAGTTGACCGTGAAGAAGAAAGAAGAAGAAAAAATCGAAAAAGTCAACACAGGAAACCGGCAGAAAAAACAGATAAAAATTATTTATTTGGCTTTTTTTATTTTATTTTGTTTCATTTGTTCACAAGTCAATGTAATTATATTACTGTGGTTGACAGTAAAATTATTGTAAACACAATAATATTATTGCCAACCACATCAATATTATTGTTTTTTGCCTTTTCGTTTTGTTTGATTTGTTGACCGATTAACGTAATAATATTACTGTCTACTATTGTAATATTACTGTAAACACAACAATATTACTGTGGTTGACGGTAATATTACTGTCGTTACAGTAATATTATTGTGGTTGACAGTAATATTACTATCAACCACATCAATATTAATTGTTTTGCCTTTTTATTATGTTTGCATTTCTTGAACGGTCAACATATTAATATTACTCTATTAAACAATAATATTGATTTTTGTTATGTTAATATTACTGTGCTAGAGGGTAATATAATAATATTACTATGTTAAATTGTAATATTGTTAATATTACTATGTTAAACAGTAATATAGTTAATATGACTGTCAATCACAGCAATATTACTGTTTAAACGGACAAAAAAATGTTGAAGAAAAAAAAAATCAACGCCGCTGAGTTGATCGTGAAGAAGAAAGAAGAAGAAAAAATCGAAAAAGTCAACACAGGAAACCGGCAGAAAAAACAGATAAAAAACAGAAAAAAAAAACAAAAAAGAAAAACAGAAAATCACCATCAGAGACCAACGGTGAGGGACAAAATTGTACTCAAAATTGAGTATTAGGTCAAAATTGAATGATTGGTGTAATTTGATATCAAATAAAAAAATAAAAAATAAAAAATAAAAAGAGAGAGATGGAGGGAGTATAGTACTCTTTTAATCGCATAAATAATAATTTGACTATTAATTATTTAATTTAATTTAATTTATTACATTATTATAATTTTTCAAGAATCTCCCTCTTCCTCTGTAGTTCTACGCACGTTTCTTTTTCCTGTCATTTTCCCGTCCCCCTCTCTCTCTCCCTCTCTCTCCCTCCCTCTCTCTTTCTCTCTCTCTCTCTGTCGCCTCCGAAATACATGCAGCATTTCAACGAACAAAACTCCCAACAGAAATTCAATTTCTGACCCAAAACGCTTCTTCTCCCAAATTTCTTTTCAGAAACGCCATTAAAGAACCTCTTTCATATAATATAATTCAATTTGTTTTTAATCATATTCCATTTCTGAACAAGGGCACACACACATTTTTTTTCTTCTTCCGAATCAAATATATATATTTATTCTATTTTATAAAGTTTGGGCGGAACTGAGGCAGAAAGATAATTTCTGGGTTCCATTTATTGAACTTTATAAAGTTCAGGGGTTTGACAGAGGGCGTTGGGAATTTTGTTCGTTGAAAAAAAAAATAATAATAAAGGGCATTTGATTTTCTTTTTTCTTTTCTTTTTTTCTTTTTTGTTTTTTGAAAATCTTGAGATAAAGAGCTGAAAGATTTGGCCTTTATTTTTTTTTTTTGGTCTGCATGCATAGCTATAGATATATGGCTATGTGTGTTCCTGTTTGGGTTAAATCAATTGGAATGGATTGAATTTAATCTGGAAAAGAATGGACACCCGATTTTTGGCCTTTTTCGTTGCTTTTATTTGTATTCTTACAGCAAATAATTCTGAAGGAAGGGGCAAATTACCCGAAAACTCTTTTCGTCATGATGATGTTCCTTGGGATATTCTCGAAATCGATATCGATAAGGTATGTGAGAATTTGCTCGAATTGATATTGATTATTCGTCTCTGTTTTTGTTGCTTTTCCGTATGCTATAGTCGATTCTTTTATATCTGTATGACACTTATTTGCTCTGCATTGTATGTATTGTACTGTAAGAAAATTCTTTCTTGATCAAAGAAAAGGCTCCCCTATTTTTTGTCGAGAAACACTTGCGATAACGAGTCTTGGGCGGTTCGTTTGTTTGAGCTAAACACTATTAATCTTGTCAAGTTGTTAAGTTTGTGTATGTTTTGTGGCACTATTAATCTACTTAAAAATAGATGTTGGACTTGGCATTATTGAATGACGAGTTCGTTTTTTTTTTTTTTTTTTTTTCTGCTAATTAAATAGAAGGGTGAGATTATAGTTTTGCATAGGCCTACGAGAGGGAAGATTGACCAATTTCTTCGATAATTTATATGTAAGTGTGACTGTAATTGGAGAGCGCCTCTTAGAAAACTATTCGTCTATTTAACATGCAGGGCTCCATCGTTGAAACTTTTTGCAAATTAAGAGATTTCGCACCTTTTTTTTTTTTGATGTAATTTGACATTCGAACTAGTGGGCTCGTTTAGTTCAATAACATTACCAATTTGTTTTTTGGAGAATCGAGTTTTGATTTGTGAAGAGCTAATGTACGATGGAGTGCTAAAAAGTGTATTAATAGTTCGGTAATATGCTCGTAGGTACGATCGATCCAACTGGTGCCAAATAAACAGTTAAAATCCAATAAAAACTAGTGTGCGTTTTTTCTGCAATCATGCAAGAAAGAGTACAATTTGTTGAATTTTATTTATTTGGTTTATATTCTAGAAATCACGACCGGGATACACATATTGCATTAAAAATATTTTTGATGAAATCTTTGTTATTCGACAGGCTGAACGAGTATGGAACTACTGTGGAAAAGAGTTGAAAGATATTACCGAAGCTATTAAAGCCTTAGATTCAGATCTCTCTCGATCAAGAACCGGTGGTAATGTTGAATACGATTCAAATTTATCGGTGAAGAGAATTATTCGAATGGCCGTAGCGGATCTGCCCCAAAAGAAGAAGAAAACACTCTTACACTGCTTGAGAGCCAAAAATTTTCCATTGCAAATATTACGAAACGAGGAGGAAAAAACATCGTATTATAATATTCCGAGGAGGTCTCTAAGAAGAAAAATAGTCCACCATCATCCTGTTATAAGAACTGCTTCGGTACCTGGTCCAGGTGGACCCCTTTTATCACCATCTTATTTTGATGATGCACCTATGTATCAAGTGCCGGGCCCCGCCCCCTCTCCCTCTCCCGTTAAACGGGCCCCACCGAAGGCCCGCGAACCATCTCCTCCGCCGCCACATGTCCATTATTATTCTCCACCTTACCCCGCGCAACACAAAAACAACAACAATAACAACAACAATAGCACCAACAACAACATCGACAATAACAATAACAATAACAGTGACAATAATAATAGTAATATGAAGTATATTATAATTGCTTCGGTTGCAAGTTTAGTGGCGGGAGTTTCTCTTATAGCTCTACTATTACTTTGTTGTCTGAAGAAAAATAAGAAGGTCGAACCGAAAGAAGGGCAAAGAGATGAGAAGCCTCTTCTCAACTTTAGCCCTAGCGATATTTCTGCAGGTATATTATATTAAAGATCATCGTTCATTTTTATTTTATTTTTCTAAAAATTGAAATCTTTTTGGCAATAATAATATCATTCATTATTCAGTTTCTTCGGAGAAGTCGCAAAACGTGGTTAATCCACGCGGTAAAGATTTAAATGCTACTTCAACGGGTGGTAGTTCGTTGGTTTCTTCTCAAGCGATATCATCAGAGGCGGCAGAAGGTAATGCCGACGGAAAAAGTGCCGGACTACCACTTCCTCCTGGAAGAACAGCGGCGGCGGCACCGCCACCGCCGGGGCCGCCACCTCCACCACCAAAACCACCAGCTCCGGCGGCACCACCACCACCCCCTAGAGTTGGCCGACGGCCCCCTAATCCACCAGTGCCGTCCCCTCTTGGCCCCCACCATAGACGTTCTTCTACTGGAGAATCAAGTGAAGTTGGTGATGATTCTGAAGCTCCGAAAACTAAGTTAAAGCCATTTTTCTGGGATAAAGTTCTTGCAAGCCCAGATCATTCTATGGTCTGGCACGAGATTAAAGCCGGGTCTTTTCAGTGAGTTATTTATTTATTTACACTGGATTTTGTCACTCGGTTTTTTTTTTTTTTTTTTTTTTTTTCTTTTTTAAGTGATATACATATTCATCTCTCGTCTTGATTTTTTTTGTAGATTTAACGAGGAGATGATGGCAACTCTGTTTGGATATGTGCCGACCGATAAGAACAAAAACGAGAACAAAAAAGATTCGCCTTCCTTTGAAACGCCATCACATTTTATTCAAATTATCGATCCGAAAAAATCGCAAAACTTGGCCATTCTTCTAAAAGCACTGAATGTGACAACAGAAGAAGTCTGCGATGCCCTTACGGAAGGTGTTTCTTTTTTTTCCTTTTCCCAACGAACCAATTGCATGTGCATGATTAATATTATATATTACTAATATTATATATAAAAAAAAAACATTTACGATCAGGTAATGAGCTCCCCGCAGAACTTATCCAGACACTGTTGAGAATGTCACCCACAGCAGACGAAGAACTAAAACTAAGATTATATAGCGGAGATGTTTCTCATCTGGGCCCCGCTGAAAGGTTTCTCAAAGTTGTGGTCGATATTCCATTTGCCTTTAAACGGCTCGAATCTTTGTTATTTGTAAGCACTTTCCAGGAGGAATTTTCTTCAATCAAAGAATCGTTCGCCACTTTAGAGGTTTGTAAGTTTATAAATTATAAATTTCGCGGGAAGAGTACTGTTTTTATCCCACATGTTTGCACCGATTTCACATTTGATCGTCTTTGTTCACAAAAAAAAAAAACACATTTGGTTTTCAACAATTTAACACTTTTGGTCCTTTCTCAATTTACCGTTAGTTGTCGGTTAAGACACTGATGAACCAAAAGTGTTGAATTTTTTTGAAATAGAGGGACTACATCTGTTTTTTTGTGAACAAGAGGACCAAATGTGAAATCAAGATGAACTCGAGGGACGAAAAAGTCTATTTTTCCGATCCAAATTTCTGATTTTTTTGTTTGATACATCATTTAGTTAAATAAAAAAAATATTTGTCTCAGGTGGCATGTAAGGAGCTGAGAAATAGCAGACTGTTCCTGAAGCTTCTAGAAGCAGTCCTGAAAACGGGGAACCGCATGAACGACGGCACATACAGAGGTGGGGCCCAGGCGTTCAAACTGGACACCCTCTTGAAACTAGCCGATGTGAAAGGAACAGATGGAAAGACAACCCTTTTGCATTTCGTGGTTCAAGAAATAATCCGTTCGGAGGGTTTAAGAGCCGGTCGAAGATTGAGAGAGAGCAAAAGTATATCGAGTGTTAAGACAGAAGATCTGGTCGAAGAATCTTCACACGAGACCGAAGACTACCACAGAGGACTAGGTCTTCAAGTAGTTTCCGGACTAAGCAACGAGCTCAAGAATGTGAAAAAGGCAGCAATAATCGACAACGACAATTTAAGTGAATCGGTTTCCAAATTCAGACAGGCACTTGTCAGAACGAGAGAGTTTCTCGAGAATGAGATGAAGACCTTAGAGGAAGATGAAAATAATAATAATAATGAATTTCGCGATTCGCTTGCTAGCTTTGTGGAACAATCTGAAAAGGATATAGAGTGGCTGATTGAAGAGGAGAAGAGGATATCGACACTGGTCAGGAGCACGGGGGATTATTTCCACGGTAAAGCTGGCAGAGATGAGGGTTCGCATTTGTTTGTGATTGTTCGTGATTTCTTGGTAATGGTGGATAAGGCGTGTTTGGATGTTAAGAAAATGCCGGTGAGGGCCCCACCGAGGAAAGAATCGTCTTCGGTAGCCACGGAATCAGCATCCCCGTCAGCATCTGAGTCTTCTATAGATATGCACAGACGATTATTTCCAGCAATGAGAGAGCGCCAGATGGACGACGATTTCAGTTCCGATGATGACACCTCGTGATTTTTCCGTTTCAACTTACTATACGGGTTAGTAACTTAACTCACACGTCCATTTAGCATATATAAATACTTTTAGTAAGCTATTTAATGTTTGGTTTAATAATTTAATTGATTAGAGTTGGCATTAATTAAACGCTGCATTATATAAAAAAAATAATTTAATGAAAATCTGAACAATATAAATGCATGATTCAAAACCATTAAAGTTAACATGCGTATATCAACATGATAACTTGTAAATATAAATATATGGGTGAAATTCAGAAAATAATGGTGAATTCTTTAGTTCTTCAAAGGAAAGGATACCTTCTTGTTGATGTGACAGTACCGCAACAATTTCCTTTTAGTTAGCATTAAGATGGCGATGGCGAGCAGATGTGTTAAATGCATTAATTGTGATATTTTACACTTAATTAATCTACCGACCACAAGAATATTTTGGCGGCCTCTGTGGGTAGGCAAGGATCATCAAACCTTGCCTTCTCCAAAGGTTGCCTTCCCAAGGCTGCAACAGCAACCACTTGCATCCTCAATCACTTGCATCCTGGTCAGAGTAATTACAGAAAATAGTAGAGTCTCCAAAGGCTTGTCTTCCCCAAGGCTGCCCTTGCAGCAAGCATTTATAAGACATGCATCGGAAGAAAGTTAAAATAACTAAAACCATCGTATTCTTAAAACATTTGAAGTCTTCGAACAAGTATTGAACTTATGACCCGCTTTGATGCCTCTAATTGGATTAACACGTAGTTTCGAATTTAATTGAATGCACTATGTTATTCGTCTTTTGACCTAGAGAAATGGAAATGATTTACAGGGATATGTTGTGAAAAATCTCCCATTTTTTAACTGGCTTGCATCCCGAGTTATTGGAGCTGCTAGAGAGTGAACACAGGCGGTGGCAGCTATGATATTTTGCTGTAAATATATACAGACATGTCAAATGTTCTAAAAGTTATTGATGCTTGTGATGAGAGATTTTAAAACTTTTTTTTGTCTCTGAAATTGTGAATGTTTTTTTAGGAAATCAGTGCCCCAGATTTATACTATATGGTTTATCTATTTTTCTAGAAATATATTCTAATTTACCTTCTCTCTTTGGTTTCTTTTTCGCTCAGGTGTATATATATATATATATATATATATATATATATATATATATATGAAATGTTAAATCCCACACTAATTTTAATAAATCATACACACAATTGAAATTATTTACTTCTCTAGAATCTTATCTTCTCATTCGTACCCTTCTTTTTTTTCCCTGACGTTTTTCACAAAATCACACACTAAAATCGTCCCTAGCATTTCAAGTTCGAATTTGAGAAAAATCTTTACGTGTTCAGACTAAAATAAAGTTGAAATTTGAGGGAAAAAATCAAATTTATATGGATTTGAATAATTAAAAAGGCATAATGAAATTGAATAAATACTTAATAAAACTGAACTCCTTTTTTCTATGATTATTCACGTGAAAAATTAACGAATTTTAAGTGACTTGGACAAAGTCACCATCGAGAGAGTATAAGTAGAGAGATTTTTTTTTTAATTTATGTGTGAGATTTAGGATATATATATATATATATATATATATATATATATATATATATATATATATATATATATATATATATATATCATAACCAAATCAAGCATGAGTCCATCACTCTCTCAACTCACGGTCTAATGGTAAATTGACAAAACTTACTGAAAGTGTCAAATTGTTGAAACGTAAAGAATCAAATGTATTTTTTGTAAATATGGGGAATCAAACGTGAAATCGGTGCAAATTCAAAGAAGAAAACTGTAATTTTCTCTTTGGAAAATATATTATTGTGTGCTAGTTTGATTTTTATTTTATATTTGTTTTGTGTTCAATTTGATGTTGCAACATATAATGCGGTACAATTTAATATATAATTGACACTGTAATTTTTATTGTGCTGATTGAATAAAATGTATCCATTTCACGAAGTAAGAATTCACTATTGCAAGATGATCTAGACAAACCAAATATAAAACTTCTTATAAAAACAAAAACGAAATATAAATCTTTTACACAAAACAAAGACTTTACTTTTTATTTAATTTTAGGGGTGAGCAAATCGGATCCATGAACCCGTTGAACTCGCCTTGTTGGGACTGGACCGATAGATCCATCAATAGGATTGACTCCTGAAATAGAGAAGATCTGCGGTTGTAGACCTAAGATGGGTTCAAAATAATTTAATACCCGTCCCGTCCCATCATACAAAACGATGTCATTTTGTTTGTATTATGTATAATAAATTAATAATTCATTATACAGGAATAAAATATCTCTTACACGTCAAAACTTGTATCTATAACTCTATTGTTTATAGTTATCTATTTTATTTTAAATCTTGTCTTATAAAACTTTTTATTTAGTTACTCTTTTTAATAATTTATTGCTGAACGTATTAATTTTAATTTAATTTTGACATTTATCATTGATGTTATTTACGTAGGTTTCGATTTAAGATTTTACGCTTAATCATTCATTTTAGTTTCACATAGTTTTCCGTAAAACTTATAAATTCTTTCAAAAAAGACATGTTTAAATTTGGCCCGTAAATGTTGAGCCCTACTATAAATCCGTCATGAACCGGCCAATCCTAAACTCGTTAAAAACCCACAAGTTAAGTTTCTTAAAATCACGAACCGTTATTTGACGGGACGATAATGAGTTTTGCTGGAACCCGCAGGTTTATGAGCGCACACACCTATTTAATTTCACATTGTCTTGATTGTTGATGTAGCATCCATTCTCGAGAGTCTCTCCAATCGGATCAATCGACGTGTCGTCGTTAAATCGACGAGATCGACCAATGCGGTTTGATCCCGTTTTTAATAGTATTGCTTTTCGGGGTAATTTTTTTCCCAATAATATACATCATAAATGAAGAATAAGTTTTGCATGCAGTTCTCGTAAACTTTATAACACGAATATCTTCGAAACGAGTATTATCGTAAACCGATCGAATCGAACCCCGTTCGTTAAACGTTTTTTTCATCACCCAACCATATTGAATCATTGGTTCTTCATCTTCTTTGTTGTTACACTATTTTTTCAAACATTCTACAAACTTTATATTTTATTACCAATTAAAATTAAAAAATAAAATCACTTTAAAAAATCTTTTCCATGTAATAGTGTCAGCAAAATATAATAAGAAAAATTTGAATCTTACACGAATTTCTTTTAGGGCAAGTGGGGGGCCACCGGCAGCCGTCAATGTACAGTATAAATACCCAAAACCCTAGTCTCGGTATTTTCGCCACAAACAATTCATCAGAGAGAGAAAAAATCACGGCGAAAATGGCTCCCAAAACCCCAGCTGCTTCTCTCCTCTCTCATCAGCCTTCAAAAGAGAAACCAGAAAATGAGAATCCCTCTTCCTCCGACGAAGAAGATGATGATGACGTGGAGGCGGATACCGAAGAAGACGGAGAAGATTCCGACCAAACAGAGGAAGGATCATCGTCTGAAGATGATGAAGAAGAAGACACAGATCTGAAAAAGGTGGGCAACAACGAAACCCTAATTCCAGCTGTTGCCGAATCCGATGCGAAACCGGTTGCCGAAGGTGACGATTCGGATTCCGACCCGGATTCGGAAGGCTCGCCTTCCGATTACAAGATGCAGCCCATACCCAAGCCTGCCGCAACCCTAGCTAAACGCGCCAATCCGGAGAGTGACGTCACTCAGACTCCTCTGAGAAGCTGCAAGAAGTCCAAAACCGAAGACGGCAAGGCAAATCCTTCTGCTTCCACCCCGGGCTTTATCACCAGGCTTTGGACCAATGACGACGAGATCGCCGTGCTGAATGGGATGATCGAGTTCCGGAGCCAGAAACGGGTCGACCCGGGTTCCGATTTGGGCGATTTTCACGGTTTCGTGAAAGGGAATTTGCATGCTGATTTCTCCAAGGAGCAGCTGAAAACAAAGATTAGCAGGCTTAAGAAGAGGTTCGTCACCGCTCTGAAGAGATTCGAACACAATCGCTCCGAACCCGTGTTCACTAAGCAGAGCGACGCAATCGCCTTTGAACTCTCCAAGAAAATATGGGGCGCTTCGATTTCGATTAGCAAAGGCGGTAAGAAAACAACAACAACAAAGAGAAACAATGGCAAGGGTAAAGATGCTGCTGCTGCCGCCGTGCACGAGAAGGAGGCTGTGAAGGAACAAAATGGCGCCGAAGAAGTCGACTTTTGGTCCAAGTACAAGTATATCAGCGAGTCGTTCGATAACATGACTGTGAAGTTTCCTTCTTTGGCCATGTCGTCGGCTGCGGCAAATGCCTTCAAGGAAAAGTTGAGCTCGATTGGGAATGCGGATGCGAAGCAGTTGGACGACAAGTGGAGGAAGTTGATCATGGAGGAGATTGAGCTCAACTACAAGATGCTTGATTTGATGACGCAACAGTGGAAGATGGCTCTCGATAAGTGAACAGGTAACAACCAAAGTTAGCGAAAGCAAGTTTATATTTTTGCTCGACTTTAGTATCGGTTGAGTTATGGGGTGAATCTTTAGTTTCGCTTAGTGATATAGAACTTTTTTGAATTTCGTAAAATCGTAGACTTGGGTTCACTGTTTAGTGGCCGTTGGTTTGGTATGAATTTCGATCTGAACTACATATGATGAAACCCTTATGGGTTAATTTTAAGTATTACTCCTTATTTGGTAATTGATCATTAACTTTTAGTTTTTTTTCCGTCCTTTGAACTTATAAGATTCCGTCTGAAGTTCGTCCCGCATTAAATGATCGTATGATTTGCCGAACTTGAATTAATAAATGTCGAATCTTGACTTTAATTTCCTGAAAAAGACCAATCTATGATTCAATTAACGGTTTTTCGTTTATAAAATTCCCTCAATATTTTTAAGAGTCTTTGTTACCTTTATTAGTACTGAAATGTTAAATGTCGTTTCAATTTTACTAATGTCGTTTTGACTTCAAACCTGATTTTTACATATTTCTATTTTGATTTTGGAAAAAATCGAAATATGAAAACTGTAGTCATTTGGGTTAGCTTTCTAATCCAACTTAAATCTGCTAGATTGGATGCCGTGTGACAAAGTTATGCATGAATGAGTCACATTTTGAATTTTAGATACCTCAATACATCAAAGTTGTGGGCAGTATCCATTGATTCATGTATATCTTTCTCGTCCGACATCCAATTTTGGTGATTTAAGTTGGATTAGAAAACTAACTCGGAATACTACAAATTCTGTTTTTCGGGTTTTACAAAATCTGGAATTGATCAAAATTACGTTTGAAGTCGAAACGGTATTATTAAAGCTCGAACGACATTTATCACATCCCTTATTAGTACTTATATTTTGTTAGCTGGTAACTTTTTTAGTATTTCACTATTCTTTGCAAGTAGCACTTGAGTTAATGAATAGCTTTTTGCAATGATGCTTTGTGGAAATTGCGAGATTAGTCCGTTTAGTTGCCTACATATGAATTTAGTTTTCGTAGTTGTCGTATTTTAATTCTATATTTGTACGGCTTTGCAAATTTAGCATTTTTTGTCCATTTTTCTAAAATTTCTATTTTTTTCCTTCGATTATTGACATGACGTATAGACTCGTGTATTTTGCTTATACGAATACTTACAAATTGCAATTTTGTCCTCTAATATGGTCTTCATAGACTTTTGTGTTTTTGCACATTTAGTTCAATTTTGTAAGTAGTCAGAGGACAAATTTGCAGTTTGTAAGAATTCAAATGAGCAAAATACAAGGTGTTTGTTTGCCATGTCGTTAATCAGCGGAGAAATTGGTAATTTTGAAAAAAATAGGAGAAAAAAGCTAATTTTATAAAGTTATTCAATATAAAATTTTAAATGCAACAAATAAGAGAAGTTCTTTTATATGGCATTGTCAGTTTTTGAGATTTGAAGGCATTGATGAATGACCCTTCTCTTTTACCCGAGTGACGACAATCTAGCTTTAAAGGGATGTCGGTTTGATTCACGAGTCCCGCAATTTCTCAACTTCAAATGATTTTTACTAGCAACTTTCCGTAGAATATCGAATATAGATATAACTTGTCTCTTGAGTTTTGGTTTTGTACATCTGAGTCACATTTCATCTTTCTCTTGTATTATATGTGCATTGCTCTTAGGTCTTTTGATATTCTTGCAATAGTTTCACTCACTGATTATGATGAGGTAGGTTATTTCATGCGCTTGAATATATTACGAGCGGAAGCCTTCTTTGTAAATTCCTCACCTGTTTTTCTCCCTTTTTAATTTTTTTTTTATTAACGAGGTTGTTTTCATGTGTGGGCCTTTGTTTTTGTGTACCCTCTTACTTGTAACAAGAAAGATGAAACCTTGCTTCCCATTACTTGCATACGGCAATGTTGCTGCATGCGATCAACTGCTTTACCTAATTTTGTTGTTGATTTGATTTATTGTAAACAAAGTATACCGACTTGTTTCTCGAACTTTCTTTTTTTGGCTTAAAATTGTCAGTCAGCCTTTGAATATTTTGCAAGGTTGTAAAAAGCGGTAATCGGGTCCGAGTCGGTCAGGCACCGACTCACGATTAATCGGTGCGGCGGTGATTAATCAGTGATAAATCGGAAATAAATTGGTTTTTAAAATTTAATATAATATATTTCTAAATATTATTTATAAATACTCCAAACATATATAAAAATAGTTATATCTCATCATGTATATATCTTAATAACATAATAAAAGTTTAATAATCATAAGATCATAATACATAAATATCCTTATAAAATATAAATAAAAAAATAATTTTTTTGAATTTACATTTATTCTTGAACATTCCTGGCATACATCATTAGTTCTTTAACAATAACAATTAACATAAAAATATAAGGCAATATTTTCTTTTATTAAAATCCAACCTTTTATTTTGAATTATAAAAAGAAAAAAAAAAATCGATTTTTGACCGATTTTTGCCACTGAGTTTGACCCGCCTTAAAGGTTTGACCGCCTAAAATCGCCTCAAAGGCAAAAAAACGATTTTTCAAACCTTTACACTAAAATCGTAAAGGTTTTGGACCGTCTCCGCCTCGGAGACCGATTAATCGGCCGCCTCGGCCGATTTTTAGAACACTGATATTTTGTGTGAGAGCATACATAATAAGTGTTTTCATGAAAATGGAAAAATCTAGGGCTCTGATTGGTTCAAAGAAAATAATGAGTAAAAATGTGAAATTATTAGGTAAATTGGTTTTCATGTTTGGTTGCAAGGTAAAGTGTTAGGTAATATAATTACTAGGAAAAAGAAAAAATGGGTAAAAATTACACTAAAATTAGGAAAAGTGAGAAAAATGCCATGTAATTCTATTCTTTTCTCTCCCCTTTTTCTTCTTTTCTCTCTCTCTCTCTCTCTCTCTCTCCTGTCTATCTCTTCTCTCTCGTCCTCTCTATCTCTTCTCTCTCGCCCCTCTCCTTTTCCTTTCCTCTCTCCTCTTCCTCTTCTCTCTCACACACATCATAACAATAAATTATTAAATTAGATTCATATTCACAATTTTTTTTCTTCTTTTTTTACCATAACATTTTTTTTTCTTTTTCTTTTTAACATAACAGTTTATTTTTTTTTTCTTTTTACGTCTTTGATAGAAAATAAAATTACTCCATTTAATAATTCATTGTTATTTTCACTTTTTTTTTCCTAGAAACCAAACAAAAGTGAGGAAAATAATTTTCCACAAAGTCTTTTTCATCACCATTTTATTTAGGAACCAACACAAATAGGATTTCAAAAGTCCTTGATTTCCTTTTCCTTTACATTTTTATTTTCGTTATTTTGAAATCCATGAACCAATTGGAGCCTAGAGCATAATGGCAGTTGAAGTAACATAATACGCGACGGAAAAGACTGCGTGTACCATGCACAAAATTCCTCCGGTTGATAGAAAATGGTGATGTGTGAAACCACATGATGCTCTTGATTTTTTGTTTGATATCGTTCCTATCACCAGCATCGACATTCCAACGGCCACGATTATCCTGAAACATTATGATACATAATCAAATCATTAGTTACAATTTGAATCATTAAAAAAAAAAGAGGAAAAATGTGATACCAAGTGAAAACAAGGCAAGCGAGTGACAATTTGTTGCTCGGGGACGCGTTGCGGAGATCCTCTCGATTGCAAATATTGCACCCTCCAATCAAATTAGCAATAACATGAGCCAGACCGAGAAGTATGGCCGCAGCTAAACCTAGGACGAAAGCGTCATGGCTTGGCTCCTTACACTCGAATATCCATAGCCTCAAATGTTTTTCCTAACCAATCAAACACATAACTGAACCATCAAAACATACGGATGATCAATCATATAACTTTTTGTGTTTTGGAAAATAATCTAATATACGACTAAATTTCATTTCATGAGTAGGTGTGCATAACACCATCGTCGTGTAATCTGAAAAACTTGCCTGGTTTTGAGCAGCTTCAGCCTTGATTCCAAGAATTCCGGCAGTGACATCCAATGCCACAATCAAGAAACATGCTAAAATGCCAATGGCTTTTCCCATTTTTTCAAGAATATTACTGTATATTTAACTTCGACGGCAAGAAAATTAAAGAGGAAGATAGAGAACCCTCTATGAGAAAAACTAGAGATGAATCTATGAAAAATAAATGTAACTAAAGGAAGTAATTAGTACATGAAGATATATTTGTATTTTGGGATTTGGAAAATTCTTGGAAAAACTTCTTCTGTTAATAGGTGATGCATTTTTTTATTTTATTTTATGAATTCTACTTTTACCTTTATTTTCTGTGGATTATTTATTTATTATTCTTTTCATAGGTGAACAAGGAAAGCAGGGTATATACCAGCTATGGGGTAGTGTGACTACTGCACGTTAGGCACCTTTTTGTGACATAGAATAATATTGTAATAAAAGTTTAATTAATTTTTACACGCTAAATAGGGATGTAATATTCTTCTTTACACTTTATTTATAAATTAGAAGCAATTGAACAATTAATTGTATCAGATAGTCATACATTTTCGAGAATCACAAGCGAAAATACATTTTTTTTAGGGAAAAAAATGATTTTTATTAGGCAAAAATCGCCAAACTTGGAGGAAGGGTGAATTCTCAATACAAGAATTGTCATATAATTTCGCAATGGCATTAGCTAATCCGTTACCAATGTGTTTAATAAAAGCAAATGAGATGAAGTGAAAAGTACGAGCAATATCAAAGCAGTCGTCAAGAAGAGCACCAAATGAGGCAGAAGTGGATTCTCCTCTTGTTAGTTCTTCGACCAGCCTCCTGCAATCACTTGCGATAATAATCGAATTTCATCCAATTTCTTTAGTCTTCCTTAGAGCTTGAAGGACAGCTCTAGTTTCGCCATCCACCGGTTGTGGTCTCAAATTTGCTTGTTCATAAAGTGCAAGAAAAGATTGACACCAACTCATAATGTCGTCCCCGCCAGCAGTGTCTCAAGCGAAAATTCATTCGTTCATACACATAAACAGCCGTGAATCGAATATCGAACGTTAGAGGGTTTTCAACCAAGCACGGACAACCTAACTCTTATTTCATATGCGTATAATACTCCACGTATATATTCAAGGTGTAGGGGAGGAATTACACTTTTCGTCCCTCATGTTTGGCCCGATTCCACTTTTAGTCTTCCTTGTTCTAAAGTGAACAAATTTCACCTCCAAGGTTCAATTTTAAACATATTTGGTCCCCTCCGTCACGTGTGTGTTCACATCTAACGAAAAATACTATTTTTCGGGCCAAAATTGAATTATTAAATTGTATTGGGGCTGGAAAACAATTAAAAATTTAAAGTATTATTTTTAATCAATCTATTAATAATATTAAGTATAAATAAGTAAAGAAATTTTATAATATTTAATTGTCAAAACGAAGATGACGACATGACAATTTTTTTTTTTCAGATTTATGTTATATACATATATATCATTTTCTTTGTTAAAATTAAAATATTATTAAAAAAATTCTAATGTATTTGTCTTTAATATATTTTTTTGCATTTCATTTTTGAAAATAAAAAATTATTCAATTTATTTTTATTATACTTAATATTATTAAAAAAAATAATTATATATAATACTTTAAATTTTAATTGTTTTCCAGCTACAAAACAATTTTAAAATTTCAATTTCGGCCCTAAAATAGTGTTTTGCGTTAGAGGTGAACGGTTGCGTGATGGATGGGACTTTTGTGTTTAAAATTGAACCTTGAATGTTAAATTTGTTCACTTTGGAATAAGGGAATCAAAAGTGGAATTAAGTCAGACATGAAGGACGAAAAGAGTAATTCTCCCAGACGTAGATAATTCATTTTTTAAGAAGATTTGACGTAAATCAAATATCTTTGAAGTGCCTCCAACTAAAGATCCGATTAATTATTTTTATTTTTATTTTTTATTTTTTTAATTCGGAGTAATTATATGTTTACTGCAAGCTATGTCTATAGTTTAATACGAAAATATATGTTATGGTAAATTACGAACATCGTGTTGAGGTAAGAGTAAAATACAATTACCAAAACAGAAAATTACTCTAGTTTATACAATTACTTTTATTCTCTTCAGGTACATATATGGGTGGAAATCAGACGGATCGGTTCAGAATAAGTACTTCAAAAAAGATCTGATTTTTTTTCGTAAGTTAACAAAATCGGAAATTGGAATTTCAGAAATCGGAATGCAAAAACTTGTTCTGAAATCAGAAATTTTCGGATCGGAATCGGCGGAAATTAAAATCTTTTGTTTTTTTTTTTTCTCCAGTTTTTTAGTCATTTAAATATAAAATGTGTAATAATATTGATATATAAGTGTAATTTTCGGGAACTTTCCGAAAATTTCGGAGTTATTTTCGGAAATTGAAATTCGATTGGAAATTGGAATCTCATACTCCATATATACCAATTCCGATCCAAAAAAATCAAAATTGGATTTTTGGAATTTAAAATGAAAAATATTGTTCCAAAAATCGGAAAAGTTTGGATCAGAATCAGCGAAAATAAAAAATTCCATATGAAGCCTGGGCCTTTTTCTCATAAAGTGAAAGTATGGGGGCTTCATATTCATTTCCAGAAAAATAGACACATTTCCTTATTCTGTAGCTTCCGTCGTTCTCTCTCTCTCTCTCTCTCTCTCTCTCTCTCTCTCCCTTCTGCACCGACTTCCGCCATCAAGAATTTCTCTGACCCAATACCCATCGTCGAACTTCACCATGAGTCACAATTAGTTTGTTCTCTTTCCGACCACCCAAATAATAGTGGATTGATTTTGAATTGGTCATTTTTAAATTTCAGAATCTCAAACTTGTGAAATAGCCAACAGGTAATTTTTTTCTTCTCAGTTGATTTCTGGTTTTGTTAAGTACTAGATGTGAAGACGAACCAAAATGATGCGATTTGTCATGGCTAATGACAGTATTTTGTTTAATTTTATTGAAACAATGGATGCATTCGTCTTGTTCGATGAAATGTCTCAGTCAATTTGTTTTTTTTGTTTTTTTTTTTTTTTTGTGCGGAAGTTTATTTCGTTTTTCGTTTTTGAATTTTGTTAATATTTTTGTTCTCTTGATCTTTTCGGTTTACCGAATCCGTTATTACCGAATATATTTCGGTAATTTCGAATCGAACTGTACAATTTCGGTGTGGTAATCGGTTCCACAAAATGGCATACCGAATTTTCGGTACCATTTCAGTTAGTATGTTTCTGTTTAGAAAGTATATCTTGGTTTGAAATTCTCTTTCGTAAAAATAAAAAAAATTAGTTACTTGAGGACACAACTGAAAAATGCTTAGAGTGTGTTAAATTTTGTCTAGCTGGAATGGCGTAAATGTGCGAATACCATCCCTGTATTTAACCCCGTTAAAGATGTTTTCTTGATTTCTAGAATACGATTTTGATCTCATATAACCAACAAGCTTTTAATAGGTTATTCTTCATAGTGCATAGTTTGTTTAGACATATTTTTAAAGATAAATGCTTGCTTGAATGAAGAAATATTAGTTGTACTTCAAATTTCGAAATTTTCGTTCCCTCAAAATAGCTATCTTGCATCTCAGAACTAGATCTCTGGCTCTATCCCAACTGCAATTGGTGGGGTTATGTCGAACTTCGAAGAAATTTGAATTATCATTTTGCTGCTGAAATTGGATTCAAATATTTTTTTGTTTTTGTTGTTGTGTGAGCGCGTTCTACTGTCATAATCCTTTGTGTTTAATTTGACTGTATAATTTTCTTGTTCCATGGTTGGATCGCACCATAATCCTGATTAATAGACTGGTTTTCTCTGATGGGGTCAGAAGAAAAAGATGCATCTAAAGCGCTTAATTGGAAAAGTATTGGTGAGCCAGCTGGCGGTGATGGCGGCGGTGATGGAGCAGCTGTAAAGAAACGACTCCCTAAAAAGATAAGGCAAATTCCGGATTATTATTTCCTCCCTCGAAAATCTCGACCTTCTGCAATCTTCTTTTATGGTTCATGGATTGCTGCTGGAATTGGTGCCGGCATGCTCACCGAAATTTGGATTAACAAAAAAGTCAAAGGTAAGTATGACTTTGGCTCACTATTCTTTAGTTGATTCAATTCTATTCCTTTATACATGCTGTCCCGACTATACAATATTCAGCATTATCAATGGAATTTGGGTAACTCGATATACGTACAAATAAAATTTTGCTAAAGATTTTTTTTTTTCTTGAGAAGTTCAGAAAATATTGAAGTATGTAAAGCTATTGACATTTTTCACTCAACTTTAGTTGTTAAAAGTACCAATTCATAGTGTGTATATGATCTGCTGTAGCTCCCAAAACAGCGTTATACAATTCTTACATTAATAAGAAAGGAGCACGTATAAATAAAACTCTTGAAATGTTAGAATATATATTTAAAAAAAATTCAATCTATACTATATTCCTTTCTCGATTTGTTAATAATTTTTACCCCACCAGTAAAATGTTCTATTAAAATAAGTTCCGAAATTCACGATTCCTGTGCATTTGTACTCATCCCTTCTCTATATTTAATGTGTATGATGCAGAGTTAATATTTTATAGGTGATGTATATTTCCGTTATTGCTTTTGCAGAGGATGGAGGTGTTATCTGGGAGTTTGACAAATAAAAAGCTTCACCGAGTTCACAATAACTTCCTTGTTCGGCTTATCAGTTAGTTTTAAATTTTTAATCCTTAAATTTTATTGTTTGGTCAATGCCAGATTTTGTTGCTTTTTGTGGTTTTATTGTTATTTTATATCCATCTAACCTCTATTTTGCGGATGTGGTGGAAAAATTACCCTGAGCGCTAACACACTGTTTCTTTTTCCCCGATTTGTATCTAGCTTTTTATGCTGATTCATAATATGTTTTTGTCTGAGAACTCTCATGTGATTTTTTTTTACGAGCCTTGTGAGTTGTATCTCTAGATGAAACAGTATTCTCAGTCATACATATTTAGCATGAATGTGCTATTCGTAAGTTGTTTATACAAACCTCGTTTACGGGCTTTGCTTAGTGTGACTAGTGTCTCGTTTATGGGTTTGTCAAGTATGGTTTCCTCTGACAAGAAATGCTTGCACGGCTACATAATGTATGTACCGTATGTAAAATTATATCGCAGGCTTAACTTTTCGCATTTATTGGCGTAAAATTCATAATGCTTGTTTGTTGTTCTTTGTGATTTTTGTTTTCCAACGCACTTTTTACTTCATTAACTTTGATCGGAGATTTGGAATTTTGTTGTATCTTTGCAAGGTTCAGAGATTTACTTTGCCTAGTTAACGAAAACAGTTTTCAGTACTTGCTATGATAATTAATCTTTGGAATGAAACGTTATGCATTTTGTGAAAAATCGGTGTCTGGCTATGCTATACCTATACTGGGTAGATATTTACCATTCAGAAGCACACAAACATATATACACCCACATTTACCATTCACACTGTGTAATTTTTATCGGGTGTAGCATAGAAATAACCGTGTGGATTGTCAGGTTTCATTTGCTATATGAAATGATTTGATTATTGCAAAATCTACAATGATAACTTTATAGTAATTAGCGAACATTATATATCATAGGAAAATTCGACCATCATCTGTGGCATATGAAAAGCATATGAAAACGTAGAACACATTTGATCTAATCTATTAGAATACATCTCATTGAACACTTGATTACGCGTGAAAGTCGGATGAAATGGATTGGAATCGACCTTTACAGAAGAAAAACAATCATTTCTTTTTTTTGCAGAAGTAGAAGACCACTTTTTCAGAACATTGTACTCTTCCAATCACAAAAATATTTCTAATCTAGAAACATTCCGATTCCAAAAGCTTCGTGAATTTTTTGAATTTTGTAGCTTTTTGGAAAATTCAGAAATTACACAACTTCTGAAAATTTTGGAATGTTTTAGAAAATAAGAACACAAACTTATGAATCTATAAAATACGAGATCATCCATATAATTTGCATCTGTAACGCTCAATTAAATAACCAAAATATAGAAACAAAACTTGAAATAGAGAAATAACAAAATACAGTTAATATTTGCAATCTCAAAATTTCTATAGACAAGACAAGACTGCAAGACCAAATTACAAATAAAAGTACTAAGAGCAAAACTGAAAATTACAAATATAACTCCAATATGAATTTTGATATTATTAATTCAAGTTAGGCCTAATTGCTATTGCAAGACAAAAAAAAAATATATATATATATGAAAAAGAGAGGGAACTCATTTCACCAACAAAACCCGACATCTTCTTCTTCACACTCATTCTGCACATTTTCTCCAAAATAAATACTTTCATATTCTTCAAAAGCCCTCATCAAACAAAACCCTCAAATCTTACTAAAACTTGCAAAGGAAGACATTCCAAAATGTCCTCAAATTAACTTTTATCACTAACTTATTCGATTGATAGATCTTTTATTGTAATTGGTGAAATATTAAGTAGAAATTTTTGGGAGGCAATATGATTTTCAGATAACTTCATAACGGAGTAGCTGAAAGATTTTTTTTCGTAAAATATATTTTTGTGATAAATAAATATAATTTTTAAATACCACTAAAAATATTAAATTACCTTTATTAGCTTTAAAAACTCACGTGGGGTGCATTATGCATAATATATTGTGTTTCAAGGGTACAATGTGCTATTAATTTGTTTCGAGGGTGCAAAGTGCCAAAAGGTTCTATTTCAATGGTGCTAAGTGGGATTTAGCATATAAACATAGCAACAAAATGATCTACAAATTTGGAAATTTTCAGAAATTAAAAAAATTCAAGAATTTTCTATATCTTTCAAATTTTAATCCAAAAATATTCGAAAAAAATAAAAACTCAGAACCTTTTGAGAATTAAGTTCAGAAATTGTATGTGTAAAACAATTTGAGATTTCTCAGTCAGCTTAAATTGTTAACTAGTACAAACTATACAGTATACTACCTAGCTTTATATAGCTTTCAAATCAGCTTTATAAATTTGAAGAAAAGTTGGGGGATAAAATGCACTATATATATCACACACACACACACACACACACAAATTATACTAGAAAGTAGGAAGTGTATCCACTTTCAACTCTAATGATCATAACCATGCATCTAATTTAACAAAACAAAAACATCATTGATCAATTTCTGGAACTAATATAATATAATTTAATGCTTTGATTTGCAACTTGATCATGAAAAAAACTTACTAATTAGTTTCAGTAATTTATATCTTGGTTAAAACTATGTCGTTTAAATCGAAACCCAGAAAGAGAAAATGAGGGTTAGAAGAAGGTAGGAGCCTTCCTCTAGATCTCTGCATGAATTAATTAATTAATTAATTAACAACTAGATTTGTTGTTCAACAGAGTAAATGCAGCACTCGTTTGTGTACAGCTGTCTCTGTGCCACCGGCGAGTTAACCACCACCTGCATCAGCTGCTGTCTGTTCAGCCTCCCCAATTCTCCTCCGCCGCCGCCCCCGCCGGATGTATGTGTGCTCTGACGTGGCATCGACTGGAGCGCGCTAACCTGCGCCCTTAGAAACTTGATGTATTTGTACGCCTCCTCTAGTACGGTCCCCATATCCATTTTCCCTTCCCATGGCAGCAGCTTCCGTAAGCACCTCGTCTTCTCCCCTACCTCATTACCCTTTCCCCTCTTCTTTCTTCTGCACCTATCCTTTTCTTTTCTAGGGACGGCGACGCCGCCGCCGGGAGCATCGGAGATGAATTTGTACGGAGGTCCTTCTTCTGAGGAACTGTAGGTGAGCAAAGCTCGGAAGCTGACGCCGGGGCAGAGGTTGTTGAGGTAAGCATCATCTAACGACACTGGGGAGTCTTCGCCGCCGTCTCCGCCGCCGCCGCCGCCTCCTTGCAGCTGTCTCTGAAACTTAAACCCTAGTTCCATTATATTATTACTGTATATCCGAGTGCAAATGGATGAAGTTTGCCACTGCCACATACATATATATATATATATATATATAATTATATATATAACTGAGATGGTGAAAATTGGGGGGACACGTGGTGGGTAGAGAGAGGTCGGAGGACGGTACCGGCGGATGACAGGTGGCAGTGCGCGGTTCTGACGATTCTGTCTGTACGGTATTGTTTTTACTTTTTGCATATTTTGTGTAATCTTGACCGTTGGATGAGGATTGATCTCATTCATCGGAGGGCAGAGAAGGGGACTGTGGCACTGACGAGATTGTCGGGGAATAATTATTAGAAATGTAATTAATGAGATTCGTCAGGAAATATTACTCAATTTACCTTTATGTCCTCGAATCAGGTGGGGTTTTTGTGTGGGAGCTCTCCCTGAAACTAGAGGGTCAAAATGGGAAAGATAATTCTGATGAATGATCACGAATACTGGTACACGTGGATGGAATGTGTATTGTATTTGTACTGATGAAAACCAATTATACGTAACGTATGCAAGCAACAAAATTGATTTTTTTTTTACGGAGAATTAGCTATTAATTCTAGTTAGGGGTGAAAATCGAAAATTCTAATTCTTACCAATTCTTATTCAAAACTTTTTTTCTAATTCCGATTTTTTTAATTCCATTTTTCAATATTATTGGATTATAATTGAAATATACGTGGAATTTTTGGAATACGCAATTTCCTGTTCGATTTTAATTTATGAAAATAGTCTAAATTTCTAGTGTGTTTTTCTACTATATACTCGTTACCCAAGATATTTAACGGCACCCAAGATATTTAACTTTTAAGTACATTACACAATCCACTGGATTTTCAAAATAAAATTCAGACTTTCCCATTCATTAGACATCTAATAACATTTTCAAAATAAAATTGAGACTTTCCAATTTAGAATTCAACAAATTTCCGAAATTTCAATATTTCAAACTTTTGGAATTGGAAGGAATCTCTAAATTCCAATTATTTTGAAATTAGAATTAAGAGTGGTTTTGTACATTCGAAAAAAAAAATGAAACGATTTTTGAGGATGTCAACTCGATCCGTTTCATCCGACTAGACGTAGTTGTAGCCAATAGACCTAGTTTCGGGTTGTGAGTTATTAAAAAAAATCAATTAATGTAAGAAAAAAAAAATAGAAACAAGAAAGTTAAATTGAAATCGAAACTTGTTAAATTGCACCATGGTTAAAAATGGAGGGAGAACAAAAAAGATTGAGTGACCAACATTAAGTGGCAAATCTGCAATTTAAAAAAATAAAAAGAAGGGTGAAATAAATACAACAAACACTCAATTCCCATGTATACATAGACATGCATTTAGTTTCATATAACCTAATCTTATTAATCTTATTAATAAAAAGTAAGGTTGCTCCTCCTAAACCTTACTTTTATTAATAAGATATTCAACTATATATATTTATTATTTTATTTCTTATAATATAATCAATGTTAATAAATTCATAAAGTTGCTCTCTTATAAATAAAGATAAGGTTGTTCTTGCTAAATTCTATGAAATTGTTCCCCCTAATTTGATAATTATAAATTATAATTGTCATTTATTTAATTAATTAATTTTATTATTTTACTATATTTAATATAATCAAGTTTAATAACTCCGTTAAGTATCCAAGATTTTTGCCCCAAATTTACGTATATTTTCCCACCAAAGTTGTCAGTTTTACTTAATATTAATTTGATGAAAAAATTATTGAATTGTTTAGAAAAAATATTTGGTTCTTATCCTATCAATAAAAGTAAAATTGCTCCTGATAAACTCTTAAAATTTAATGGCATAATTGATTTACAGTAAATTTACTGACGCCTGTTATGGGTGAGAGAGAAGAAGATTCGTCAAACTTCAACATTAATTGAGATAAGGTAAATATACAACCATATTACATCAAAAATATAAAGTTAAATTAATAAATATGGCACAAAAAGTTTATGGATGGGGGATTATCATCAAATATATATAGCAAAATATCAAAATGAATTGAAACTTCAATTTTGTTATTTAAAATGAACTTTACTTTGTATTAATTTTACTTCAATCCCGTGCATCGCACGTGCCATTTTTTTTTAATAGTTAATACTAATGTGCCGAACATACATGTAAGAATTAGGGATGGCAAAAAAATCTGATCCGCTCGTTAATCATGGGTATCTGCTTTGTTTAAAACCCGCTATCAAAATCATAATGGTTTGGTAATGATTTTGGTAAAAGTAATGCCAAACTGTCATGGTTTCGGTATGGTTCTCGTTTTATCCCTACGGTTATGCGGTTATGGTACCCGCCATTATATATATATATATATATATATATATATATATATATATATATATATATATATATATATATATATATATATATATATATATATATATATATATATATATATATATATATATATATATATATATATATATATATATATATATATATATATATATATATATATATAATTTTTAATTTAACATAATATAAATAAACAATTAATTTGACATTTTTTTTTGAATAAAGTAGATATAAATATACTACTTAATGAATTACTCAAGTACATAACAAGTTTCGTATCATCCTACCATTGTGTATCTTAAATTTCATGCTTCAAAATATATTTTCTATATATTGTAGTGGATATTGCTTTTTATTCATTATTTTGTTGCCTTAGAACAATAATTTTTGTGAAAGTGCCTTATTTCATTTTGTATAATTTACTTAAAACTTTTGCGTTTTTTTGTTTTTTTCCTGTTTTTCTGAGAGGTACTGAAAAGTTATTGGCCCCAAGTTATTTCGTATCACCATAATTTAAATGGTAAATGATTACCCGTGGGTATCCGGATATTCGTGGTAATGAATCTGGTATTCCGATAAACTTTTTAAATGAGTGGTGTGGTTCTGGGTTGAGCTATATTAAATGATAATGGCTTTGGTATTACAATTTTTCGAGGGTACCTGCTCCACTGCCATTCCTAATAAGAATTAGAATACATCGTAAAAGGGGCTCTACATAATATATATATATATATATATATATATATATATATATATATATATATATATATATATATATATATATATATATATGTCGGAGGCGGTCACCGACTCACGATTAATTGATGCGTTGGTGATTAATCGGTGATAAATCAGAAATAAATCAGTGTTTAAAATTTAATATAATATATTTCTAGATATTATTTATAAACACTCATAACATATATAAAAAAATATTTAAACATAGTTATATCTGCATCATGTATATATCCTAATAATATAATAAACGTTTAATAATAATAAGATTATAATACATAAATATTCTTATAAAATATAAATAAAAAGGCATTTTTTTTATTTATCATTTATTCTTGAGCATTCCTGGCATACATTAATAGTTCTTTAACAGTAACAGTTAAATAAAAAAAATAAAACATAAACTCAATTTTTTTTTATTAAAACCCCAACTTTTATTTTGAATTATAATTTTTTTTTAAAATAACCGATTTTTGACCGATTTTTGGCCGTTTTTTGCCGCCGAGTTTGACCCGCCTTAAAGGTTTGACCGCCTCAGACCGTCTAAAACCGCCTCACAGGCAAAAAACAGATTTTTCAAACCTTTACACTAAAATTGTAAAGGTTTGGGACCGTCTTCGCCTCGGAGATCGATTAATCGGCCGGCTCGGCCAATTTTTAGAACACTGATATATATATAAACCATAAAAACAAAAAATATATAGTATGTACTAATTGTCAGTTCTCATGATTTGCAGTAATCAATTTAAATAATAGTAGAACAAAAAGTTTAGCTATTGCACTAAAAAAAATGAGCACCAAAATATATTAAGTCAGGATCAGTGTTTTGAAACTCAGACCCTACCGACCGGTTAAACCGCGAACTATTATCTTGTCTGGTTAAGTTTTATATATTGAACTGTAATATCGTATGTTCAGTGAAAATTCAATTTTTGGCAAGAGATTGTGCGTCTTTTTTTCTTAAATAAAGAAGTAAAATGGCTTAAACAACATCTTTTTATTGCCCAATTCAAGGAAAAATAAAATAAAATAAAAAACTTAAATTCGAAGACATATTATTTTAGATTATAACTTATGTAAGAGCGAATGATAAATAGGCCCATTACATGGGACTTAAATGCATATTGGTCCACAAAAAAAAATAGTATTTCAAATAAACCCATCCCCATGTCTTTAGTCTAAAATATCCTACATAATATAATTCTTATCAATTCCATCAATTATGCTCCAACTTTCTTAATATTACACATTGACCCCGGATTTACACAAATATATCACATTAACCCCCAAAATAATAATTTTTTGAAAAAATATTTTTTTTTCTGAATTTTTTTTTTCCAGCCAGATTCCGGCGTTGACTTTTTTTTTTTCTGTTTTTAGAAAACTTTTTTTTTCTGAATTTTTTTTTCCGGCCGGTCAACCACCGTTGTCGCCGGTCTCCAGCATTGACTTTTTTTTTTTCTTAGAAAAATATTTTAATTAATATTACTGTCTTGGCTACTAAATTACTGTCTCAAACAGTAATATTACTGTTTGGGACAATAGTATTATGAATATTATTTTCCCGGACAGTAATATTATATTAATATTACTATTTGAGACAGTTAAATTACTGTTGGAGACAGTAATTTAGCAGCCAAAACAATAATATTAATAAAAATAATATTTTTTAAGAAAACAATTTCAAAAAAACAAAAAAAACCAATTAACAGTTAAATAATTGCCGGAGACAGTAATTTAGCAGTCAAGACAGTAATATTAATTAAAAATATTTTTTTTAAGAAAAAAAAGGTCAATTAACAGTTAAATTACTGTCTCCGACGATTAAATAACTGCTGGAGACGGTAATTTAACAACGAATACATTAATATTAATTAAAATATTTAAAAATAAAATAAAATCAATTAACAGTTAAATTACTGTCTCCCCGATAGTTAAATAACTGCTGGAGACAGTAATTTAGCAGTCAAGACAGTTATATTAATTAAAATATTTTCGAAGAAAAAAAAAAGTCAATTAATAGTTAAATTACTGTCTCCGACAGTTAAATAACTGTTGGAGACAGTAATTTAGTAGCCAAGACAGTTTAGTAGCCAAGACAGTAATATTAATTAAAATATTTTTTTTAAGAAAAAAAAAGATTAAAAAAAAAAAGTTAACGCCGGAGATCCGACGGTCAACGGCGGTTGACCTACCGAAAAAAAAAAGTTTTCAAAAAAAAAAAAAACAAAAAAACAAAAAAAAAGACAATAAAAAAAAGTCAACGCTGGAGACCGGCGGTCAACGGCGGCTGACCGGCGGTCTCCGGTGGTGGCGGGTAAAAATTGAAATTATGGTTAAAATTGGTTAATTGATGAAATTGGGCTAAATTGGGGTGTAAATCATGAAATTGGAGTTGAATTGAGTTTCAATGAATTGACGGTAATTTTGGTATATATATAAAAGGATTTTCCTTATTTGCAAATAAATTTGAATGAGCTGGATTTATATGATAGACAAAAAAGTTAGATGTCCCTCTTTTAATTAAGTGCCATTTTATGGGCCTATTTGCCATTTGCACTTGATGTAATACTTGAAATGATTATGCATGATATGTGTGTGTAAAAGAAAAGTAAACTTGGTTTATGTTTCAACTGAAAATGAGTAATGAATTAATGTTAGTAAAAAAAAATATATTTTATTTTCTATAAAAATTAAATATAAATAATAAAAAAATGAAAAAAAATCGATTGAATCGTCCAACCGTGACCAGTGACTTATTCGGGTCAATGTCGGATACGGGTCAATGTCGGATACGATTTATAAAACATTGATTAGGATACATATATCATATGTGCTGGGTGCGGGGAGTGGAGGGTTTTCTACATGGGTGCCACATGGCCACTCTAAATTCACAATAATTAAAAAACGTTGTCAGTAAAGAAAAAATATCTTTGAGTTGGTTTTATGAGGGATGCTATTTCCACCTTTAAATTATCTCAATTCACTATAAAACATTATAAAATATCATAAATAATCCTCAAATTTATAATTCACCATCCTTCCATATAATTTAATCCTCATGTTTTCTAAGTTATTTCTATTTCTATTTTATTTTAATAATTTTATTATTTTTTTAATTTTGTTCTTACTTTTTTTTAATTTTATTTTTTACAATGAAATATATATTACATGATATTTAAACTTCCATATCAGATGATCAACAAATTGTGTATTTTTCTTTTAGGAAACGAAATTATATTAAGCCAAATCGACCAATTCTGGAGGAAGTTCAGGATCTTCCATACAAACAATCTTAATTTATTTCTCAAAAAATGGGAATTCATGCTCTTTTTGACCTTCGAAAATGTTTTTCTCAGACGAAAGTATTATTCATGTATGATGATGTGGGATTTGTTTTATAAATATTTTAATTAGTTTAGTGGTAGATGGTTTATAAATTTGTAAAAAGTATAGGTGAACGAAGAAGAAAGGGGTTAAACTAAAAATATATTTAATTTGAAGGTGAAATAAGATATTTTGAGGATGGAAACAACACGTCTCTTATGAAATTTTAGTGCCCAAGAGATCTCTACCACATATGTATTTGTAATATGAACGGATGGTCCTTTATGTTAAATATGAAGAAAAAAAAACAAGAAAAATGAAATAAAAGAGAGAGGAAAAGACAATTGTGACTTATTGTAGCTCCAAGCTCTCTTGATTCTTGATTATTATATCCTAGCTAAGTTACATTTTATTTCATGTTTAAGACTAGAATTTTTTTAGCAAATTGGAAGTATTTTAAGTCCATTCAAGAATTTAATTTCATCAAACTAGCAAGAACTATAATAAGTACACGTTAAAAAAAATTAATATTGAACATGGATTCATATTACAAAGTATATGCAAATCTTGGATTTAGGAATATATATATACAATTTTGATGTAAATCGAGGAAGAAATCCCTTTTCGATTGAGTTCAGAACAAAACCGACGTCGGAGAGAAAGCTGGGAGGGCCATGGCGTAGGAAGATTCCCTGAAATAACATAAATAGTTTCTCAAATTCTGCCCGAAATTATTAAATTATACTCCCTCTATCCCTTATTGTACTGTATTTTTTTGTCCCAAATTATTTGTTATTTTGGAGTTTCAATAGGATGTTAATCAATTTTGTCCCTTGTCACGCTCAAATTCTGCCGGAAATTATTAAATTATAGTAAACTGTAATTAAAACAAAATCAAAATGATAATTAGTAGTAGGTACCAATATTCCTCCTCTCGGAGATTTGGTGGCGGTGCAACCCTCGCCGGCGATTTGGATTTGGCTTTCACCGGCCGTTTCATAACCTCCGGCAACGGGTTATTCTCGGAGATTGCATTAAGCTTGGGCTGCCAATGGGCTGTAGCGCCGCCGCGGGGGTTCGGTTTCACTGGCCTTCTAGTAGTACTCTTTGATTGACAATGAGTAGTGTGGCAGTTTCCTCTCTGTTCCACCGTCGTCGTCCGCCACCCACCGCCAGCGACATCCGCCGATGATCCGATCGTTACGCAGCCCCAACAGGATCCAAATTCCGGGAAGAACTTCATAACTAATGTAAGAAGATTCAGTACTTGTATTATTTGGTGAGTGATGAATTAATATTGTATCAAACACTGACGAATTATATTATATTATATTATATAAAAACAGGGGCGGATTGGAGGTACGTAGAGAGGTGGTTGTCATTATCTGCTGTGGGGCTCTGTTTTCACGGAGCCACCGTTTATTGTTGCTGCAGCTCCATTGGTTCCTACATTTTATTTGCTTTCACTAATCAATTCATGCTTTCAGGTTTTTCTAGACCCTACTACATTTTCCTATATACTATGTAATAAACTTTTGGGTAAATATCATTTTGTCATCTGTATTTTGCCCGTTTTTGTACGTTGTTGTCTTAACAAAAAAAAAAATCACACGGGTCTGCCCAAACTTTTTATTTTGACCCACTTAACCACCTAAGTCGAATTTTCAGGCGAATATTTGAATATTCCGGCGCAAGCGCAAGGCACAAGGCTACGTCGGTAGGTTTTTTCGTCTTCTCATATTAGGATATCATATGTGGGTGTATTTATAGGAGAAATAGAGTTGGGAGAGAATTATGTCTCTCACGTATATTAATCATATATATAGTTACATATATGAAACCCTAACCTATTACACAAGGTAACCTATTATACAAGTTAACTATAATAAATAATAATAATAATAATAATAATAATATATACGTAATATATAATATATATACGCTAATAGTATTTAATTGAAACTTAATGACTCAATTGAACTTAGTTTGAAACTTACCAAAACTAGAAATTGATTGAATGAAGCTCTGGTTCATCTTCTCTTCCATGGGAGTTTCTTCCCCACTTATTTTTTATTTGAACGAACAATATCGTTTGAGAAAACCGAACCTTAAAAAAGAAGGTAACCTCTGCTCACGTGCAACAAAATTCTTGGAGACAAATAGAAAGGACCTTTTGGAGTAAGAGAAAGAAAGAAGGGCCTGGCGGCGGGAGATAATGGAGTGTCGTTCAACTCATTTTCCAACTTTATTTGGACTGCCACATGGACCTAGGGGTGTAAATGAGACGAGCCGGCTCGCGAGCTTTCGGAGCTTGCTCGAAAAAAGCTCGTACTTGAGCTCGAAAAATCGAGCTCGAGCTCGAGCTCACGAGCCCGAGCTTTTCGAAGAGCCGAGCTCGAGGTTCATTTCAGTTGTTCGACAGCTCGCGAGTCGGCTCGCGAGCTTTACCTTTTTTGTATATTTTTTTAATACATATAAATAATTTATAATAATGGATATTATTAATAATAAATAAAAATAATAATTTTACTTTTCTAATTGAAAAAAAAAGATTAATAAGAAAAATATACTCTTGTAATTTTTTATTTGATTAAAGAAAAGAAAATTGAAATTAAACACAAAAGACAGATGAAAAAGTGGAATATGGTCAGTCTTCACGCTTCAGTAGACAACCAAACGTCGGTTCCCTTAGGGTTTGGTCTTCTCTCTTCAAAGTTCAGCTTCAAAATTTTCTCTTTGGATTTCACTTTCAATTCTCCAAATGTTATTCTAGCAAAATGGTAGAGTGCGTTAATGATTTTTGAAAACACAAGTTACACAAGTTCAAAGGCAGCCCAAGAAATTGGTGGTTTGTGCAACGACGGCCGAGATTTGTCCAAAGGCGAAGGTGGTTCCTCTTCAACACTCCAAAATTAAAAGGAAACATAAGGATAGGTAATCTTCAAAAAATTCTTCCTATTTCGTTTTTAAAGAATAGGTGAATGTTTGACTCAAAATTTAATAGTTTTTTTCTCTACATGCATAGAATATGTGAATGTTTGACCCAATATTTGATAGTTTTTTCCTCTACATGCATATAAATTCACAGTGGAAGTCTGAAATTCTTGTTGTAAGAATCTGATTTACGACTTTGGTTAAAGATAATAAAAAATAAATCATTGAACAACACTTAAATTCACTAACAATTATTGACATGTTGCCTTTGTTTTTTGCAGTTATGTTGCTTGATGATACTATTGCACATCCTGGAGAAGCAACGGGAGCAATAGGACAGGATAATGATATGAATGCACATTTGAATAGTGATGAGCATGCCGATGTAGGTATTACAGCAGATGGTGCCGTGGAGAATGGAACGGAATCAACTCACATTAATAAGCGACAAAAAAAATCACCTATCTGGGCAGATTATACAGAGATTAAGATGACAATGGTGTCACCAAGGTGTGTTGCAACCACTGTAAAAAACTATTTACAAGGAACAAAACTACTTCAACAACTCAATTCCACAGGCACTTGCAATCATGTCGTGTTTTTCAAAAAGAAAAGGCTGCACGAGATAAGGGTAAATTTTCACAAACACAAATTGGTTTTCTTCCAACAACTGTAGAGCTATCTTCTTTTCCAACATTACGTGATGGAAAATTTGATATGGAAAAGATGAAAGAAGCGGTAGCTCATTGGATTATGATGCATGAGCATCCTTTCTCCATTGTAGAAGATGAAGGATTTAATTTGATGCAGAGACTGGGAATGCCTGAGTGGAGATCATTTACTAGAATCACGGCAAAAAATATTTGCGTGAAAGTGTACGACGTGGAGAAGCAGCAGCTGAAAATTGTATTGAAGAATGTGAACAAAATCAGCCTTACTACAGACTGCTGGAAGTCGAAGAATCAAAAAATTGAGTACATGGTCATAACTGGTCATTGGATTGATCAAAGCTGGATTTTACAAAAACGTATGCTCAACTTTGTCCATATTCCACCTCCTCGACGAGGCCTTGAGATTGCAAATGCTGTTTGGCGGTGCTTGGAAGAATGGGGAATCGATTCTAAGGTTCACACTATATCTGTTGATAATGCTTCAGGGAATGATACTGCAATTGAGAACTTAAAGATTTTTATCGAAAGTAAAAAAAAACTGCTTTGTGAAGGAAGTTTGTTCCATGTCAGGTGTTGTGCACATATTCTAAATTTGATAGCACAAGATGGTCTTTCTCAGATTAAAGACATCATAGAAGTTGTCCGTGATAGTGTCGACTACATTCGATGATCAGATGCAAGATTGAAGATATTATCGGAGATTGTGAAGCAATTAGACTTGCGAGATAGAAAGTTGGTGGATGATTGTCGGACAAGATGGAACTCTACATATGAGATGTTAGCAACTGCTATCAAATTTAAAGACGTGTTTCCACGGTTTGCAGATCGAGAGCCTCATTTTGAAAAATGCCCAACTAATGAAGATTGGAAAAAAGTTGAGAAAGTGTGCTCGGTATTGGAGGTGTTCTGGACAGCTACACATATCATTTCTGGAAGTGATTATCCAACCTCAAACTTATTTCTTAATGAAGTGAGTAGAGTGAAGGTAATGTTGGATCAAAAGTCATCAGATACTGATTCTTTCATCCAGGAAATGGTCAAGAAAATGAAAATCAAGTTTGATAAGTATTGGGGGGAGTCTGATTTACTTATGTCTGTAGCAGCTGTGTTGGATCCTAGATGTAAGATGAGGGCACTTCAATTTCGTTTTCCCAAGATTTATGGGCCAATACAAGGCGAGAGAGAAATTATACGTGTTCGACAAACTTTATATCAACTTTATGCCGAGTATGCGGCGCAACAAAATAGTGAAGAGTCGAGCGGGGAAGTAGGAAGCGGAAGTTCTCAAAATCAGCATGGTAAAAGCTCTGAATCTTTATGTGGTTGGTCCGAGTATGTTGATTATTTGAAGTCCGTGGAACCAGCTCAACCAAAAAAATCCGAGCTTGATATGTATCTTCAAGAAAATTGTTATATGTCCAATAAAGAAGATGGACGAGAATTTGATGTTTTGGAGTGGTGGAGAGTTCATGCCTTGAAATACAAAATATTATCAGTAATGGCAAAAGACATTTTAGCCATTCCGATCACCACAGTTGCTTCAGAGGCTTCTTTTAGCGCTGGAAGTAGAGTAATCGACAAATATCGTGCCTCATTGGCTCCGGATACAGTGCAAGTTTTGATGTGTGGAGGAGATTGGTTGAGAAAAAAATTTGGGGTAAAAAATAAGTCCAAGGTAAAATTAGAATAATTGATTGAATTATTCATTATTTTTATGTCTTTGTTTAGTATTCTTTGTTTTGCGTTGCAGAATGAGAAGAAAGCAATACAAGTTTTTCTTCCGGTTGATGATGATGTTCCGAAATCATGATTGACGTGGATTATGTGTTGCATTAGTAAGTTTTGTTCTATAGCATAATGACAAGAAAACAATATTGTGTGTTTGCTACTTATTTGGGTAATGTTTATTTGCAGATTTAAAAACCATAATTTTTGTAAGTGGATTAGAGTACTCAAGTATAATCTGCCAAGTTTGAAGGATAATGGAGTTTGGAGTGCACAAATGCATTTTGGATATCAGCCTTTTGAAAATATAAATTAAGTATATTTTGTGGAGATTATTTTTTTTTGGATAAAAAATGTTTAGATTTTGTGGCATGAGTGCATTTCTATATTTTCTTAATTATGGAGATGATTTTTGTTTATTTATTCCGGTTTTCGTCGTATTTTTATTTTATTTTATTTTATTGCATAAGTTTACTTACTTGCAGTTTGTTCCAATTTGATGTATATGTTAATTAAATGAAAAATTGAAAATTTGGTTTTGCTGAGCTTGAGCTCGAGCTCGGGCTCGTTTTGTATACGAGCTCGAGCTCCTTAGCAACAAAACGAGCTCGAGCTCGAGCTGAAAATTATAGGCTCGTCGAGCTCGAGCCTTGTATAGTTGTAGCGAGCTCGAGCTCGAGCTCACAAAATAAGGTGAGCTCGGCTTGTTTACTGATGGACCTCACGTGCGGCGCACATAACATTTCCGTCCAAGTTAACTGGGTGAGTTGACGGGCGAACCAAAAGTGTCAAAAAATGGCAAGTTTGAAGACTAAATTAGCGGTGGCAAAAGTTTGAGGACGAAAATCGTTTTAGGTGCTAAGTATATGGACGAAAAGTGTAATTGTCTCTTAAAAACCCTTTCCATATCTTCGTATTTACGTCACATTTATAAAAGGGGAATTACAGTTTTCATCCCTAAAGTTTGCATCGATTTCACATTGGTCCTCCATGTCAACCAAAATACATTTGGTCTCTCGTGCTTCAATAATTTAGCATTTTTTGTCAATTTACCGTTAGTCTGTTAATTAAGGCAATGATGGACACATGCTTGATTCCGTTAGTTTTAACGGGAAATTGATGGGAACGACTAAAAGTGTTGAATTTTGACAACATAACGGACCAAATGTGAAATCGGTGTAAACTTGAGGGGCAAAAACTATATTTTTTCCCCATTTATAAATATATTCATGACATCACCTTATAAGAACATATAAGCTAAGAGAAAAAAGAAAGAAGGATGCAATGGGAAAATGCAAAGTGTTGTGATCACATGGGAGTGACTGGTGATAGCAAGTTTTGGCTCAAGGGTATGAGACCTGCACTCTGAGTAGAACTGAGATTGGTGTGGACATAGCAAAATAAATGAGTGATGATGCTAAAGTTTAGATCACTTGGGGTAGTGTAGAAAACGAACTGGGAGAGCAAAGCGGATCAATAGCTTGACAACTTGATGATCCTGAGGTCCCTGCGAAATGAGCACACGTGAACTAAGCCAGGGGTTGATCCGGCGGAAACCCCTCCGACGCTCAAGTCAGATGTACGGATCGTAGAAATAGTAGAGAGAATATGCACTCTAGATTGTTGGTGAATTATAGAACGTACCTTTACAAATGAGTAAAACATCTATTTATATGTCGTTGATTGGGTTGGGCTTACTTTGTTGGGCCCAAGCCTTACTTTGAAGGTGCTTGGGCTTTCGTGTAGTGGGCCTAATTGCAAGTGATTGGGCTTTCGTGATTTATCTGAAAATTAAGGCCCATTGGGTTGGCCCAATTAGGTATACAATGAGCTAATAGCACATGCCCTTATTTTTAATTGGCAAAAAAGTCCTCATTATAAAACAATTAGCAAATACCTCCTTATATTGTGTTTTATATTACACACTGCCCCATTTAACAAATTTAATTGTTGAATTGAATGAAAAGACAAAATTATCCATGATTTAAAATAAATCAAAATACCTCAAACCTAATTAAAAAGGTTAAAATTTATTTTGCACCCATGTACTATGCGTAATGTGTCATTTACCCCCCTGAAATATAGAAAACATTAAACACCCCCAGCCGTTAGTCTTCTTCCTAATTTCCGTCAGTCAAATCCTTTGACCGACTATGCAAGGAAATGTGA